GCTCGCGGCGCAGCCGGGCGGGAGGCTGTCGGCGACCGAGGCGGGCGGCAGCGTGTGGGTGCGGGGCGGCGGCGCGGAGGGCGCGCCGCCGGGCAAGCGGCGGCGCGTGCTCGACCTCGACGCGCAGCAGGCGCACGAGGAGCGCACGTGCGTCTGGCGCGGCGTCGAGTCGGCGACGCGGGCGGACTGCCTGAGAGGCCAGTCTCCCGGCGACGGCCGGCACGGCTCGGGCACCGGCGCGACCGCGGCGGAGTACCCGAGCCAAAAGGTGAGGTACGCGGTCGCGCAGCACGGCTGGCTGCGAGACGAGAATGAGCACGGCGCGCGGCTGCCCGTCATCGAGGTGGACCTCCCCTTCAAGGTGGGGCGGGACAACAACAGGAACTACAGGTGGGGACAGCAGGCCGACTCGCCCGCCCCGTTGCCCAACGGCGGCTACCCGCGTTGAGCACTTGTGTGTGGTTGGTGACCTGAGCGCGCGGCCGTTGTTTTTCTTATTAGCCGCGGCTTGGAGCATAGTCCATTGAACATGAAAAAGGCAAAAGCCACCCTGGCACCCTCTGGGAAGGATGGAAACTCCCGCCTCGCACGACACAAGAATTCGAGCACGTAACTCGTACCAGCCCACCAGCCCACGTACCGCCGAAAGAATTTGAGGGGGGGGGGGGTGCACGCGAGGCAATGGAAAAAGCCTCCCCAGTTTGAACAGCGTTCCTGAGAGATCGGGACGATTGGACACAGGAAGACAGTGAGCCGCCACAGGCGTCGTTGGCGCACGTGCTGAGTGGCAGCTGCGCTGGAAATAAACAAGGAAGAGGCGCGTGACTTCGTGCGGAAGGTGGTGACAAACTCACTGCGAGAGCCATAGCAAGAGTCGAACGGGCGGCGCCTGAATCAACGGACACGGGCACATTCCTGAGTGCTGCGACGCGCGAGAGGAGGCCTCCTCTAGACTAGAGCCTCCTTATACCTTAAACGGAGCTCCCAGATAAGAAAGAAAGAAAGAAACGCAAGCGCGCCTCAAATTAGGAGTTGAGTGTGGCGCTAGCCGTCCCATGTTGCAACTCGCCACTTGGAGCACTTGGTCTTGGAGTGCAGTCATTAATAAATAAATAAAACGGACACGCCAGCGAGGGGTGGGAGAAGGACAGGTCCCCACCTGCAACGGGCAGGATCTTGGAAGGACGATCAGGGACACAGGGGGGGATGGGAGCGGGGAGCGCATCGCGACACGGAGGGGGGCTGGGCAGGGTTCACCCCCACACGACAGGGTCCCACCGGCCACCGCAGGGATTCCTCTCTCTTGTATGACAGGTTGCACCCGGCGGCACGAAGGCAGGCGCGGGCCTCCTACTGGTTGCGCTCTCCTAGTTCTCCTGCTCCTGACAAAAGGGACAGCGACAGGTTCGCAGCGCACGGTGGACTCCCTATTCCACTGGCGATCTCTCTCGACTAGCAGTCATTAACCCATGCATTAACCTCAACACCCAGGAGCACTTGGAGAGCACTTGGAGTGCAGTCGGCAGCCGCACACAGGGCCGGGGAGCTAAGAAGCGCACCCTACCCAGCGGGCCGGATGATTGCAGATTGGGATCGGGTTGCGGGCTAGAGAGCGCCCTAGCCCTGGGGGATGCGCGTTCGCAGGGCAATTCTCGCAGGGAGGGAGGGGGCCACATAAAATAATCACGGTGATTCTCTTCTTCTCCGAGGGATAGTTCCGTGCACCGGGTTTCCCCATAGCTGCAGAGCGCACCCTCTACTCGGAGCTAGTAGACACCTTCGAGTAGGAGGTTAGCGTTAGGTTAGGTAGGAAGGTGAAGAACAGTCAGAAAAAAGAAAGAAAGAAAGCAGACAACCCAAGGGAGGGATGGGAGGACGGCACGCCGCCACCACACAGGGATTTTAAGGAGAGGTGTGTGGTGCTAGCCGTCGCCCACCCTAGGGAGTCTGCCTCTTCCTATCTCTCTTCGCAGTCTCTCGCCGCTTCTCGCTGCAACCTTCATGCCACCTCGCGGTCGAGAAGTCAAAACGGGACCTAGGTTGGATTTCTCCACATCGCTGTGGCGTGTGGCTCCGTGAAGCCTTCATGTCGTCCCTGCGCCGCTCGCGTCGCATCGCCGCTGCTGCTAGCGCTGCCGGCGCCGCAGCGCTCTCACCTTTGCCACCCTCGCTCCTTGACCTTCTGAGCGACGAGCTTCGCCTGCACGTCCTACACATGCTGGAACACCCAGCGGACGCGCTCTGCATGCGTGCAACCAGCTTTGGCTGGTACGAACTGCTCGCACAGCCCTCATCTCTGCTGGGCTGCAAGGCGTGCGCTTCCAGAACAATCGACCTCGCACCACCGGGGGTGGCTTGTCGGTCGGAACCTGAAAAGGTGCAGATGTGGGCCGAGTTGCTTGGCAGGCCTGCACAGAGCTCCGCATGAAGGGTTTCACAGTGCAGCACCTGGATAACGTGCTCAACTTCGAATCGTTCCTGCAGCAGTGTCCCAACCTCACTCAGCTGACGATTGATGGCGGCATCCAGCACGAGAGGACTGCGATGTTGACGACACGGCGTTTGCTACGCACCGTTGTGAGGGCCGCGTGCGCACCTCGTCTCAAGATACTCAAGCTTTGCCCCGGCTTCGCTACGGCAAACGTCTGGGGTTCAGGGCTCACGTCCGAGCTATGCGCGCTCGCAAAAGCGTGCCCTCTTCTTGAGGTCGTCGTAGTTAGCAGCACGGATTTCGATCACGAGCAGTTGGGCCTGTTTCCGAATCTTGAAGAGGCTCAGTTTTGGCCTGATCTGCTCGAGCAAGCCCACCTTGAGCACATATCTCGCTGCTGCCCGCGACTAAGCACGCTTGACGTCAACAGCACCACGCTTGGCTGGGCCACAGACTCCACGCCGTTCTGCGCGTCCCTCAGCACTAGCCTGCAAACGCTCCTATTCACAGAGAGCAGCGTGGCCGGACTGCCTGCACTACTGCAGGCGCTGCCTTCGCTCACCTCGCTCGATCTCTGGCACTCGCTCGAGGGCGCGGTGCAGGCGGCGGAGGTTCTTAATAGCTGCCCCAAGCTGCGGGAGCTGAAGGTTGGCGGTTCTGAGATAGTCGACGACGACTTCGTGTCTGCCATCTGTGCAGCCCAGCCCGCCCTCGAGACTCTCGACATCTCCAACACCAACGCGCTGACAGATGCCGCTCTCTTCACAATCCAGCAGCAACTAGCAGCGACGCTCCGCCGGCTCACCTTAGTGTACGCTCTGAAAGGGTTGTCGGCGCCGGCCGTCCTGCAGCTGGTCGAGGAGTGCCAGCACCTCACCACGCTCAAATTGAATGAGGAGGGAGGGTTCGAATACTACGGCGATCGGGAGTTCAGTTTGTATCCAGCGCAGCCGCACTATGTGGAGATCGAATCGGTGTTGCAGCATCGCGGCGGAAAGCTGGTCGACGTTGAAGACGAGGACCAAATTGGCGACGACGATGAGGATGGCTCGGACGCAGACGAGACCGACGACGAGAGCGGTGATGAGAGCGACGAAGGGGAGAGTGGCTCAGAGGACGAAGACGAGATGGAGAGCGGAGAGGGAGAGGAGAGCGAGGACGCCATTGAATAATTTGTTCTGGGATTTGTTGAGTCGCTGTCTTTTTGTGGCAATTCAGTCTCAAGTGGGCTCAAGTGTCTCTCAAAACGTCGTGTCTCAAGCACGAATCAGCATCGATCGAACACACAAACACAAAATCTCTCTCTCTCTCTCCCGAACACAACAGATCGAACCTACTCCATAAATGATCGCACGAAGCCTGGAGAGTGGAGTCGCTCCTCACCGCAAATCCAACCCCGTCAGCAGTTGCCAGTTCCACCTTCGGCAGTTCCACCTTCGGGTAGCTAATCCTTTGTGTTCACACCGGTAAGAGGTGTGAACAATGACGATTTCGGCCTTAGTCGTCGGCATGCCAAATAGCGTGCTAGCCAAGCGTGACTTAGCCGGGTAACGGCCGCCCCGACCGTCCTGCTTCAAGAGCCAAGGACCAGTCCAGAACAGCATGGCTCTTCTCCTCGCCGCCCTCGGTGCTCAACCTTCTGTGGCCTCTCCCCACCTCTCCAACGGTGTTGCACAGCTCAGCCAAGCGCCACGCATCTGGCTCGTCAACGACTTCCTCGACAAAGCCGAGGTGCAACTCGCCCGCAATCACTGGTCCGCTCCACTGCCCACGATAACGCCACTCACACTCGCTTGTTTAGGTCTCCTACCTCAGGGGGCTCGCGGACGCCACCCAGTTTGGCTCGTGCGAGAACCAGCGCGTCCTCAACAACGGCAAGGCGTGCGCCCAGCTCAAAATCAGCTCCTCAACCCCGGTCCTCGACCGGCTCGCAAAGCTCTGGCACGTCGATACCTCGCACGTCGAGTCACTGGCTGCCGTCCGTTACTCTCCGGGCTCCTCTCCCTCCGCGGCCCACGTCGACCACTACTCCGACGGAACTCCCGCCGACATGACCATCGTCCTCTATCTCACGGACGCCGCGCCGGAAGAGGCGGGCCACACCAACTTCCCTTACGCGGGTGCCGCGCCGCTCTCGGTGGCGCCCAAGGCGGGCTCTCTCCTCGCGTGGATGAACGTGGACGAGGCGACGGGTGAGGAGAACCCAATGGCGAAGCACAGTGTTGGCGCGACCCCGGCCGATGCGCCTCACGACCGCGTGATCCTCCAGTTCTCGATCACGCTGCGCCCCCAGCTCAAGCGGAGCTGCCCACCGCTCCCCTCCTCGTGGCCTCACAGCAAGGGCTTTGATCCGCTCAAGGAGGTTTCGGCCTCGCGCGCCATCTGCTCCACACACGTCGGCGACGACAAGCTCTTCCCGACGAAGGCGTCTCCCGATGGGCCAATGGCCAAGGCGGAGGGCGCTACGTGTTCTTTCGCCGATGAGTGCGACTCGGGCCTCGTCTGTGGGTGCAAATGCCTGCCGGGCGCGCTCGACGAATCGATGTGCTCGGAGTGCCTCTGCGAGCGGGCAAAGTGCAGTGGCTGCGCCCACCGCCAGCTCGGAGAGGTCGGGGTCGGTGAGGCGCAGGTCCTGGTTGGCGAGTCGGCCCCAGCTGCGTGCCCGGAGGAGTGCCTCGCCAAGTGAGAGGTGCGCCGCAGCACCCTGGCCAGTCAGAGACAGACACGGCCGTGTTGAGTATGTAGAGAAGCAGAATGAGCCTCGGAGAGGCTGGGCTCGCACCACGGTCCCGTCGTGTGCTTGTGTCTAATGGTAAGATGGGTAGATGGCTCTCAAATGCAGATTGGCCCCATGCCCACCACAAGGACTGGATAATGAAAATAATCAAGATGGCATGAACTGCCATCTCTTTGCCTCCCCCCCGCCCCGACCGAAAAAGCATATAAGCGCTCAAAACAGACGCAGAGATATCACAGAGAGTCGAATCGTGTGAGATATATATGTGTTGAGCTGGGCGTTCACTAGCGCTCGCTTGTGGCTAGTTCCATTTCACTGTGGCACAGCTCGCGTTACAAAACCTTGATTTTGACCATTGCGCGAAAAAGGTACATCTCGGTGCCTTCCAGAGGCAGCTGCGACCC